TGGAGTGAACGGCCCACTCCTAAAGACCTTCTATGACTCTGTGGTGGCTTCTGCTATCTTTTACAGTGTGGTCTGCTGGGGGGGCAGCATCTCTGCTGAGGACAGGAATAGTGTGAAAAGGCTGATCCGGAGGGCCAGCTCTGTTCTCGGATGCCCTCTGGACCCAGTGGAGGTATTGAGTGACAGGAGAATGGTGGCTAAGCTTTCATCCCTGTTGGACAACATGTCCAACCCCATGCAGGAGACTCTGACAGCACTGAGCAGCTCCTTCAGTGGCAGGCTGCGGCACTTACGATGTGGGATGGAGAGATTTCACAGGTCTTTCCTCCCCACTGCTGTCAGACTCCACAACAAAGACTGCAACTGACCAAACACACACATCCACACATGCGTAATAGCAATAACGCTAAGTGCAATACTCTTTTCTGGGATCGTTGTATTATACTCAATTTTATATAGTATTTGTATTCTATTTTAATCTATTGTATATAGTATTTTATTTTATTCTATTGTATTGTGTACAGTATCTTATTCTTATTCTTTATCTTATTCCAGTGTTTTTCTAATTTTTCTATGTAACTTTGCACTATCAACTTTCTGCTGTAACAAAACAAATTTCCCACGTGTGGGACTAATAATGGTTATCGTATCTTATCTTATCGTATCTTATCTTATCTTACCTTAAATAGTTATATTCAAGCCTACTATTTTTAGCTTTTGGCACTTCTTCAAATAGGTCCTGTGGAATACGCCAGGCAACAAACACACGCACACACAGGTATGTACTGCCAACTTCCACATTTATTGCAGTCTTTGTGTTTATGACAGCTGACTCAGTCGCACAGTCTGACAGCTCACGAGCCCAGCTGATCTCTCTCGGCCGCTCCTCCCCGTCTCACTATAAACACAGCGGAGGGAGACCATCATCAGTCCATAAACAACATCAGCTGTTCTTACCGGCCTCGCAGCGCCGCCCCTGTTGAGCCTTCTCGCTCCACTCCTCCCCTGCAGCTGCGCCCGGGGCCACGCCTCCGCCACACACCCCCACCGCCCGTTCGAGGCCGGGGAGCCGTCCGGCCGAGCCAACTCCCCCCCCCGCGAGCGAGAGAGGAAATCGGCCACTGCCATCTGCGCCCCCGGCCTATGGATCACCTTGAACTTAAAGGGCTGCAACGCCAGATACCACCGGGTGATCCGGGCGTTGGCATCCTTCATGCGGTGGAGCCACTGCAGCGGGGCGTGGTCCGAACAGAGGGTGAATGAGCGTCCCAGGAGGTAATAGCGCAGGGAGCCGACCGCCCACCGGATGGCCAGGCACTCCTTCTCCACGGTGCTGTACCGGCGCTCGCGCTCCGCTAGCTTCCGGCTGATGTATAGGACAGGGCGGTCGCCCCCCTCACCTGCTGGGACAAAACGGCTCCCAGCCCTCTGTCCGAGGCGTCAGTCTGCAGAACAAAAGGGAGGGAAAAGTTAGGAGTGTGAAGCAGCGGCTCCCCACAGAGAGCCTTTTTCACCTGCACAAACGCCGCCTGGCACGGCCCCGTCCACTGGACCAGATCCGGGGCACCCTTTCGAGTGAGATCGGTCAGGGGGCTGGTTAGCTGCGCAAACCCCGGCACAAAGCGACGATAGTAACCCGCCAACCCCAAGAACCGTCTCACCTCCTTTTTCGTCCTGGGGCGCGGGCAGGATGCGATAGCCGCCGTCTTCTCCACCTGTGGACGCACCTGCCCGCCCCCCAGGTGGTACCCCAGATACTGCACCTCCCTCCGTCCAACCGCGCACTTCTTCGGATTGGCCGTGAGCCCCGCCCCCCTCAGGGACTCCAGGACCGCGGCCACCCGCAGCACATGCTCCGCCCAGGTGTCGCTGTGGATGATCACGTCATCCAGGTAGGCGGCAGCATACGCTGCGTGCGGACGCAGTACCCGGTCCATGAGACGCTGGAAAGTGGCCGGGGCCCCGAACAGGCCAAACGGAAGTGTCACGAACTGGTACAAACCGTACGGAGTGGAGAAGGCCGTTTTCTCCCTGGCCTCGGCAGACAAGGGAATCTGCCAATAGCCCTTGGTTAAGTCCAGTGTCGTGAAAAAGCGGGCCGTGCCTAACCGGTCCAGGAGCTCGTCGACCCGAGGCATGGGGTAGGCATCAAAGCGTGACACTTCGTTCACCCTGCGATAGTCGACACAGAACCGTATAGACCCATCCTTCTTCGCCACCAGAACGATGGGGCTACACCAGGCGCTGTGCGACTCTTCTATTACTCCCATCCTCAGCATTTCCGCCAATTCCCTCTGCACGATTTTTCGCTTATGCTCCGGGAGCCTGTAGGGCCGTGAACGCACCGTCACGCCGGGCTGCGTCACGAAATGGTGCTCGATGAGGGACGTCCGGCCGGGCAGGGGGGAGAACACGTCCGCGTTGCTGACGCTGCTGAGCCTGGAGCAAATTCTCCCGTGACAACCTCCCCAAAGTGTGGAGTTTTGCTCTCAGGTCCAACACGTACTGATCTCATTTTTGGCGGGGCTCGGACCGTCCTCCCAGCTTTCTTTAATCAGGTCGAGCACCCCACGTGGCCTCCTGCCGAACAGCAGTTCAAAGGGAGAAAATCCCGTGGAGGCCTGGGGCACCTCCCGCACTGCGAATAACAGAGGGTCTAGCCAGTGATCCCAATTGCGTTCATCCTCGTTAATGAACTTCCGAATCATGGACTTTAAAGTCTTATTCAGCCGCTCCACCAGCCCGTCAGTCTGAGGGTGGTAGACACTGGTCCGAATAGATTTAATGCCCAGTAATTCGTACAGTTCCCGCAGTGTACGAGACATAAACGACGTGCCCTGGTCAGTCAGTATCTCTTTCGGGATTCCGACTCGGGAGATGACCTGAAACAGTGCCTGCGCCACACTCTTTGCAGAGATGGTGCGCAGCGGAACTGCTTCCGGGTACCGCGTTGCGTAATCCACCAGGACTAACACAAAGCGGTAGCCGCGTGCACTCCGGTGAAACGGCCCGATGAGGTCCATGCCGATGCGCTCAAACGGGACCTCAATGAGGGGGAGAGGGCGCAGAGGCGCTCTTCGGTATGGCCGGCTGGTTAACAAGTTGGCAGTCCGGGCAGGACGCGCACCAGCGGCGCACATCCGCTCGGATGCCCGGCCAATAAAATCGGGCCGTTATTCGCTCCAGAGTTTTCTCGTAGCCCATATGCCCTGCCATGGGGTTATAGTGGGCCGCCTGGAAAAGCGTTTCCCGGCGGCCCTGCGGCACCAACAACTGGGTGTGTGTTTCCTCTGTCTGAGTGTCACGACTCACTCGATATAATCGGTCGTTTAATAAGACGAAACGCGGGTAGGTCTGCGCGGCCTCAGGGCGCACCACGTGACCATCAATAGCCATCACTTGGTCAAAGGCTGAGCGTAGGGTGCCGTCACGAGACTGCTCCAGTGGGAAATCACCCATGGGGGACACTTCCGGGGCCGGCGGGACGTCCCGTGAGGGACCCGCCGGCTCCTCCCCCCCGGAGTCAGTGTCGGACGACCCCGCGTCACCGCTGAACGCCGCGCACACGCTACACCCCGCTTCCGGTCGTGATCGCACCCCCGCGTACTGCCCCAGTAGCTGATGAAACCCCGGCCAATTGGTACCCAGAATTAGGGGGTGCGACAGGCGCGGGCTAACCGCCGCCGTTACTCTATGCGTTTTGCCCTTATACTTTAATAACAGCGGCACTATGGGATACCTGTGAATCACCATGCACACACCTCACCTCCACCCATTCTGCCTCCAGCAATGCCCCGGGGCGAACCAAGCTTTGGTGTACGAGGGTCTGCGTGCAGCCCGTGTCCACCAACGCCTGGCGTATACCCCCTCGAGTCCTTACCGGAATACTGTATGTCCCTCCTGGACCGGGGAGGGTGCTGGGGCGCCAGCAACACGAAACACCTGCCCCACTTCCATAAGCGGACAATCCCTCCTCAGGTGCCCCGGCTGCCCGCACTTCCAACACTCCGGCCCCGGCGTCTGTGCTGCTCTCGTGGCTCGGGGGCGGCTCCACTTGGCTCGGCTCCCCTGGACGGCACCAACGCCGCGAAAGGGTTAGTGGGGCTCAGCGCCGGCAGCCGCTCTGCCTGCCCTGGTGCCGGCACACGGCGCCTCGGGGCCGGCACTGGGGCCTGTTTGTTCGGCCTCCGTCCGGCGTCCCCGGGTTCCCCTGCTCCAGCGGCAAGGTGGTCCTCCGCCAGCGTCACCGCTACCTCCAAGCTTGCGGGCCGGTGGCACCGGACCCATCTCGCCGTCTCCGCTGGCAATCCCTCCGTGAACTGCTCCAGCACCACCTTGTCCACCAGCTTCGTCTCCGCCCTCCGATGTCCCCGGTTGCAGCCAGCGCACCGCCGCGTCGCGCAGCTGCCGGGCCCAGGCGAATGGTCGGTCCGTTGTAGCCAGCCGACAGGCCCGGAACCGCCGGCGATGGTCTTCGGCGGTGAGCCCCAGCCTGTCCACCACCGCCCGGCTCACGTCCGGGAAGCTGCTCCTCGACGCCGGAGGCAGACTCAGGGCTGCTGTTTGTGCCTCCCCAGACAGCAGGGGGAGCGGCCATTGGCAAGCCTCCGCCGTGGCACGGAAGGTCTCCAAAAAAACCTGTGGGTCGTCCCCGTCCCCCATCCGGGGCACCGCCACCGACAGTGGCGAGGGCTTCGGCGTGGCAGCGGCCCCGACCAGCCGCTCCAGAACTTGCGTCTGTCGGTCCGTCTGCTCCCGCAGCGCGGCCAGGTGGGCACGCTGGTCGGCCGCCTGATCCCGGCTCATCGTCGCCATCTCCGCCAGCATCTGCGCCAAGAATTGCAGAGGCTGGGCGGGTGGCGCGGCCTGTGGGTCGGACATTCCCCCACCGGCACTTTCCTGGGTTTCGGCACCACTTGTGGAATACGCCAGGCACAAACACACGCACACACAGGACTGTGGTTTTTTTGTTTTTTTATTTCCAGTGTGCATCCATGGATGCGTCACATGACCATTAATCTTCAGTGCATTTCCGCTTTCACGGCGGCCGAGCTGTTATCAATTGCTTTCCATGGATGCGTGCAGGATTTTAGTTGAAGCATCTCTGCAGTTTCCTCCATCCTGTCCTCTGTCTCTTGTTTCCGCACTGAATCAATGAAAGCATAATCATCCTAGGATTGCCTCATCCTCCTCGTCGTCTTCTTCGTCCAGCCCTTCGTCGATCAAGCGCGGCCGAGCTGGGGGGGAATCCGGGGAAAGGCAGCCGCGGCGCCCCGCACCGGCCGACGGACACCCCGCCGCGACGCGCCACTAACATGCTCACCCGTGTAAAGTCCGCCGTGGCCGGTTTCATGGGGGGAATCATGGCCGGGGGTAGCTCCGGGTCAGGCGGCAATACCGGATCCGAGCTGCCGCTGAAATTCCCATATATGAGACCTGATTTCCTTGGACTGTCCCCGGATGAGATCGAGTGCTCTGCTGATCACATAGCTCGGCCCATCCTCATCCTCAAGGAAACCAGGAGGTTACCGTGGGCCACCGGATACGCTGAGTAAGTAAAACAAATGCAGTCGGCCTCAAAATCAATTCTTGTTGACTTTCCTGTGTCAGATGCGTTTAACTTAAACCAAATGATGTGGTTTAGCTGAGGCCTAAGAGCGTGCAGCTGCTCACTCAGCTCTTTATCCCTCCAATTTACTCCTTCTGCTCCTCCTGTTAGACACACAAATCAAGGAGCACGAACTTGAACCTGCACTGTGACCTGTGACCTGTATCCATCTCCAATATGTTATGGTTCATTTAGGGATCGCACAACAACCTTTTTGTGTGCAGCTTCTTAAGTGTGGCCTTGAGAAGTAGAGGACAGCATGCATCCAAGGGATCACAGCCCAAGCTGGTTTTCACGTGCAAGAGGATAACGCCTTCCAACAGCAGTATCTGGGATTTAATCTACAGCAGTGCTCCACTCAAAGCTACAGTGTGTCAGTAAAGTCTAGGATCAGGGGTGTCAAACATATGGCCTCAGGGACAGAATCAGATTCCAATCAGTAACAAAGGGCATCGATTTGTGGCTTTTAACTGCATTTTCATGAGGTTTATAACTTTTCCTTCCTTCCTTCCTGTTTCCGTGGGTCTTTTCCCGCGTCACTGGTCTGGCCCACTTAAGGTCAAAATTGGCTGTATGTGGCCCACAATGTAAAATAAGTTGGACATCTCTTCTAGATGCACTGTGGCTCAGTGCAAACTCATATTCTGGCTTTAGAAGTAGCTGACTAGCCTTCAGAGCACACTCTTGTTTGTGTTTTTTCTGCTTGCCGTTTCTGCCACCTTCAAAGATGGCACGTGAAGCATCTGTCCTCTTGCTGTCATGTCACATTTTACACTGGAGCTTTGCAAACACGCCGCTCAACAAATGTTATATAAAAGCTTACAGTGAATTTAAGACTCATGTGCTGGTTCCACAAATAATCGTAGGGCCCTGCTAACACTGTAAGCGCACTTACACATTTGTTTTTCAATACTTTTTTTCATATCAGGATTTACTAGAAACTATTGCTTAAAAAATCCCTGATTAGAGTGCAGAATATGAGAATGGTAAGCACAATTTACAGAAAATTTAAGAACTTTTGAACTTTTTGAGTGGCTTTTACAAGGGGGGGGGAATCAATCTCTCCCTTGGAACACCCTGCTAAAATTAATGGAAGCTCAAATCTGCAGTTTATGCTGTATCATGATGCTGAGACAAGGGAATGCATACGATCATACAACTAGATTAGTCAGTTTTTGAGTGAGCGTGTTCACCATTGTGGTGCATTATACTTTCCATTGTGGTTAGATATGATTAGATTTTGCAGGAGCACTTGTCTTTTGTTGTGGTACTGCCTTATCAGCCGCACCCTGCTGTATCCATTTCCTCCCCTTTGTTGAGTTCTAGTTGGCAATCTCTCCCTTCCAACCTGCTATGACCAGTGTTTGGTTAACATTTAATGATAAGGTACACAAATACATGTGCGATTACCCTCAGAACAAACTAGGAATTCCCTCCTAATTAATCACTACCTTTGAGACTGAGGTTATCTAGTACAGCGGTCCCCAACCTTTTTTGC